CCGGCTCTTCTTTGAATTTTACCACCTGCTGAATTACTCACGCCCCAAGGAGGGTGATGACCGGCCGTTCTTCTGGATGTTTGAGAATGTTGTAGCCATGAAGGTTGGCGACAAGAGGGACATCTCGCGGTTCCTGGAGGTGAGGGAATCTGGGGACCTGATTGTCACAGTCAGCCTGGGCAGGGAAAGCCCTGCTGACAGTGATGCTTGGTGGATTTTGGCAATGTTGAGAATGATTTTCCCATTCTTGGTCTGGCAAGATCCAAGAGAGGGCTTCGGTGGGTTCTCTTAGTACATGGGAAATATTTTTTTTGAGACAAAGTCTTGTTCTGTCTCCCAGGCTGAGGTACAGTGGCATGATCTGCAGCCTTGAACAGCTGGGCTCAGGCAATCCTCCTACCTCAGCCTCCTGAGTAGCTGGGACTACAGGGTCACACCACCATGTATTTTTGGTAGAGAGGGGGTCTTGGTATGTTGCCCAGCCTAGTCGTGAACTCCTGGGCTCAAGCGATCCGCCCACCTCCCAATATGTTAGGATTAGAGATTGAGCCACTATGCCCTGCCAGTACAAGGAAAATAGTTAATCTCATCCCAACTCTTTGAAGTCAGAAATGATGAAACCATCATCTGTTGTTAAGGACTCATGAGATTTGACTCAATTTTTTACTCTAGAGAGTTTTCTCTTTTTTTTTTTTTTTTTTTTTTTTGTTCGGGGACGGAGTTTCGCTCTTGTTACCCAGGCTGGAGTGCAATGGCGCGACCTCGGCTCACCGCAACCTCCGCCTCCTGGGTTCAGGCAATTCTCCTGCCTCAGCCTCCTGAGTAGCTGGGATTACAGGCACGTGCCACCATGCCCAGCTAATTTTTTGTATTTTTAGTAGAGATGGGGTTTCACCGTATTGACCAGGATGGTCTCGATCTCTTGACCTCGTGATCCACCCGCCTCGGCCTCCCAAAGTGCTGGGATTACAGGCTTGAGCCACCGTGCCCGGCCGAGTTTTCTCATTTTTGATATGAAAACTGCTTTAGATCAGGCACAGTGGCTCATGTGTGCAGTGCTAGCATTTTGGGAGGCTGAGGTTGGAGAATCACTTGAGCCCACTGTGTATCATATTTTGTAATATCTGGTGTGTCCCAGGGGATACTTTCTCAGAATCTGCAGGTTTCACCTTATCTCTTTACCCACCGTTAGCATAGTATGAGGGCATTTATCATGTCCTCTAGCCAGCCTCCTGATGGCAGTTGGTCTTTTCTCTGTCTTGGAGGATTCATGCCTCTTTCATAGTCAGGATATAGCCCTATCACCTGCAAAGTTCAAAGGTCAGACTTCGTTCCGATTGACACCAGAACTCTAATAATGGGCTTCTAACAGCAATCTTCCTTCTCCCTGCAGTGTAATCCAGTGATGATTGATGCCATCAAAGTTTCTGCTGCTCACAGGGCCCGATATTTTTGGGGCAACCTTCCTGGGATGAACAGGTAACAAGGGGCTCTGAGTGGGTCAGGTAACAGTCAAGTTAAATATGTGATATGTGATATCAGCTCTGACATTCACGCCTTTCGAGACAGAGCTGGCTCTGCTGAGAAATGGCTATACCCTGGGTTTCAGACCACCTGTGGTCTTATGGGTTGATCCCTGTTAAGATGTTCAGCAAGTCCCTGAGAATCTCTGTAGGAGTTCTACTCTTACCTGCTGCAAGCTGCCGACGGACCTGATCTTAAAAGTCCCAGGTGGCTGGGCGCGGTGGCTCACGCCTGTAATCCCAGCACTTTGGGAGGCCGAGACTGGAGGATCGCTTGAGCCCAGGAGTTCTAGACCAGCCTGGGCAACAAAGTGAGACCCCCGTCTCTATAAAAAGTTAAGAAAAATACAAGTCTCATGTGCTGTAGCCAGACTCTGTACCTCTTTCCTGCCAGGGATCTCTCAATACTTGAGCTTGTTGATGCTCCTGCCCTTCACCTCTCCTCCCCGTTGCCGTAGGGACAGCGTCTGGAAATGGAAGTAGATTGTTGTTAGCGGTGCCTTTCCTCCTGCCCCCAGAGATGAAGCGATCTTGGCCAGGCTCGTGTTGACCAACCAGGTGGCAGAGCTGCTATGAGAAACAATAGCCCGAAGACCATCTCCCTCAGATTCTCATCACCAGGAGCGTTTATCATATACTAAAGACAGTTCAGTCTTCAGACCCGCTGAAAGCCACAAAGCAGGCAGCTTTGTTGAGGATTATCTCCTCTATACGTGGTTTCAAGGAGAAGAACTTGCTAATTAAGATGTAAAATGCGATGGTAATGTGACATCCCAGACTTGCAAATGAGTTAAGCTTAAAACATTCTCCTGTAGAGTTAGGTGTGGAGAAGCAATAACCTTCTGCCACTTAGTGAAGTGTGGACAGAGGTGAGGGTCCTGGGGTAGCCTGGAGGATTTTTGTTGGCCACCTTGCCCGTGTACTTGGCTAAGCAGCCAGTCTTAGGGTACAATGCCAGTGTCTGGAATTAAATGGGTTAATTCCTTCAACATTTGAGCACCCAGTCTGTCAGGCACTGTCACACTGTTGCCATTTTTGAGGTTAAACACATCATGTCTATCTTGGCTTTCATGATAGGGAGATGCTTATTGGGGAGGGGAGAGAAGACAGTGATTTGGGGTTTATTGCTGGTGGATGGGCATTGCATGGTTGATGGGAGGGCTTCTCATTCTAGCCAGAGACTTCAGTGAAGGAATGGAGCCATGCAGTTACTAGAGTGCTCCAGATGGAAGGAAGAGGGTCTGGGATGATGGGAAACATCCCCAGACCAGCTCAGAGCACACTAGGTGGTGTGGCTGGGAAAGAAGGGCCGAGTATCATGGGCCTTAATGTGCTATCGCTGAAATCGCTTTGGCATGGGAAGTTACAGACGAGATGAACTGTGTCCTACATTCATGACAGTTTCTGGGTGGATTACAGACAACAGCAGGATGTAGGCAGGAGTGGGGATACGTGAGGTGACTAGACGGCTCAAAGAAGGAGAGATGACTGATGATGATGTGGTGCCCCAGGAGGTGCCATCCCCAGAGAACACAATGTGAGTGGTGGCCTCCAGGGTTTGCAGCACAGCATTCCTGTGACTTAGCAATGAGGGGTCAGATTCAGGGTATTTGGAGGGTAGGACATTTGCTGAGGCATTGAATGTGTAGGCTAGGAGGTGGAAGGATCAGTGAGACCTGATGCAGATCTGATGCTGTGACTAAGTTCTGCAGGCTTATAGGATGGGTGTGTCAAGCATCATATAGGGGACAGACCCAAGTCACCTGGCTTGTTTAGATCTTAATCCTACAATCAGCACAACGTGGAGCTGTGCAGCGCCCTTTTCTTCTGGTCTCTCAGCTCCCTTGGGTCCATGGCGGTGGTAGGAGTGGTGATAGAGGTGGCATTTGAAGCCTGGCAGGTAAGGTCAAGGAAATGTATCAGTCTAGGGACATGTTTTGTGATTTCCCCAGCCCCTCTGTGGGCATGGTTCCCGTTCTCATGTCTGAATTTTTTGGCCTTGACATCCCTAACATGGGTCACTGTGGTCGTCCTGAATTCTGTACTCTTGCTGTGGTTTCTGTTCTGGAGCTGCTTGGCTACTTTCAGTTCTATCCCTTGCCCTTCTTAGTCATCTGTTTGCCTCTCTGCATTTGCAAAATAGTTTTCAAGGGTGAAAGTTAAAAGGGTGCTTGGTCCTTTTGTCAACCAGCCCCTGTCCATTGTAATGAAAATGCCATCCATTGCTTTTTTCTGTTTTCGTTTTTGCGTTAAGATACTGGGTCTGTCTCCCAGGCTGGAGAGCAGAGTTGTAATCATAACTCACTGCAGCCTCTAACTCCTAGGCTTAAGCGATCCTCCTGCCTTGAACTCCCAAAGTGCTGGGATTATTGGTAGGAACTGCTGCAGCCGGTTGCCATTAACTTTTAAAGCCTCCTGAGGCAGCATCCCCAGCAGTGAGCCACCAAACTTGAGGGTGTGATGTAGTGATTGTATCAGGTAGACCCATAAAAATCTAAACCAAATCACTTTAAAATAGATGGAAGCTCAAAGGGGTAGTGTGACTTGCTCAAGCTCACTCAGACAGTGAGCAGGGGAGCGAGGACCTGAGGTTTCTCCTGTCCCACCCCTGTGTAGTGGTCTTGCTCAATGGGAACCTGACTTTGAAGTCCTGGCAGAGGACATTACCTCCTGGATGCTGGGCTGCCCCTCTTGGGGCTAGCCCATTCCTGGCTTTGGCACACATGCTTGTGCTCATGCCAGAATCAGTTTCATCATTTAATGTAGCAAGTTCACTGCCAGGGTACATCTCTGCAACACAGGCCCTCACTCCTACCTTGTGCCTAGCAGAGGTCCCTCTACAGCTAGCAAAAAGTAATGGGTTTTGGCTGTTCCCAGGCCCGTGATAGCATCAAAGAATGATAAACTCGAGCTGCAGGACTGCTTGGAATACAATAGGATAGCCAAGGTAAGATGAGCTGTGGCCCTCTGGAAACATGCACTTTGTGTCCTCCAAGTGGGGATGAACTTGGTGTCTGATTGGTCCCTACTCCTCCCCCCACGTGACTTCCTGGTGTTGGGCTTCTTTCTCCCACACGATTGTTCTGTCCCATCCTCAAATACAGAGACCAGGAGACATTCCTGATAAGTAATCACTATGAGAAAAGGCAAGGAGTCTTTCTAATTTTAACACTGGATACATAAAGACACAGAATTTCAGCTGGCCCTCCCAGGGAGAAAGGAATAATTAATCCTTTTGCCAAAAAACTAATTTTATGAAGACCTCCATAAACCTATATCTTCATGTTTGCATAAAGCAAAGATCCATTTACCTAAACTCCGGTTGGGCATTCTCTGTATCTTAATCTTGCTTGATCAGGAACTCTGGTATCCTCTTGGTCCCCCATGTGATCTCATTCATGGTCACTTTTTTTATCTCATTTTTTCTGAGGCTGGTCCTTCCTGTTAACTTCTTGCCATTTGTGGGAAGCACAAAATGTTCTTGTTCCTTGAACTCTGCTTTTCACTCTCAGCCCTGCCACTCCTGCCACGCCTGCGCTCTCCCCTCCATCTTTCCCAGGCACTTTTCTCGCCCAGCCCTGCCACTCCTGCCGCGCCTGCGCTCTCCCCTCCATCTTTCCCAGGCACTTTTCTCTCCCAGCCCTGCCACTCTTCTGCCGCGCCTGTGCTCTCCCCTCCATCTTTCCCAGGCACTTTTCTCTCCCAGCCCTGCCACTCCTCTGCTGCGCCTGCGCTCTCCCCTCCATCTTTCCCAGGCACTTTTCTCTCCCAGCCCTGCCACTCCTCTGCCGCGCCTGCGCGCTTCCGTCCATACCAGGTACTTTTGAGCCTTGACTCTACCCAGATCCCTTCATTCTGCGCTCACTCCATGATGTCGTTTTGTTCTCCAGTTAAAGAAAGTACAGACAATAACCACCAAGTCGAACTCAATCAAACAGGGGAAAAACCAACTTTTCCCTGTTGTCATGAATGGCAAAGAAGATGTTTTGTGGTGCACTGAGCTCGAAAGGTGAGCAAGGCTGCACTTGGCGAGGGAAACCGTGCAGATAGAAACAGAAACGGGCAGACATGGGCAGGTGTTTATCTTAACTCTGGATGGTCTCACTGCCCTTCAGTGTTAGCGGCGCTAGAAGTAGTAATACCTTGTCATAGTTCGCCCTTATTGCCTGACAAAAATAGAGGAGGGGGTGTGGTGGTGGTGAGGAATCTGAGATAGGAGGTCATTAGGCTGCAGCATCTGTCTTTTGGCTGCACTGCCCTGACATCTGCCTGTCCCAACACGCTGGGACACTAGGATGCATGAGAAGCCAGTGAAAGAAAAAAAGAAGCCAGTGAAAGAAAACCCCACAGACATGCCATTCTTGAAGACTTTGCTCATTCTATAAATGATTCCTTCTTAGCCCTAGTTTGTCCTCTCCTTCCCTTTCTTTGGCTAAGTTTGTCTATTTGATGCAAATAACCCTCTCTTGGATTTCAGGCCTGTTCTGTCCTTTTTCTTTCCCTCCTCTGTTTGTTCCTTTTGCTTATACTGTTTTTAAAAAATCATTACTTGGTATAGTAATGTAATTAAGGCTCTGAACATTCCTCTTTACATCTATTCTGTATTTAGAAGGCTTTGATACAGATTATTTTCATTCCAGATATTTCACTTCTACAACTGGTTTAATTTCTTCTTTGACTTTTCTGAGTATAAAAGTAACTTCTGAACAGTATTTATGCTGTAGATTATTGTGTATAGACCCAAACCTAAAATGGTTGGTGCAGATGGCTGTCATTGTGTAGACGCTAAGGCAAAGCAAGATGCAGGCCTGAGGTATTACATACACCTTTGACATGCTTCTGAGCACCCACGCAGTCAGTGGCCTGTTGGGATGACTTGTTGGTATTGGATTGTATACCTGAGCAACACTGAGGTTCAGCCTCTGAAGCCTCCTTCCAGGCCTGGTAGAATCCTATCGAGGAAGCTTTCAGTATATTCGATGCCATCTGCCTGAAGTTGTCCAGCTTGCTCCTTCATTCAGCATTTGGGTCTGAAGAAGAAAGGAAAATTCTGATTGCCTGAGACTGTGACGATTGAAAATCTAGTCTGTTTTTGAGTGACCTTGTTCCTTACTAAGGAAATTGCTGAACTTCTCCCATCATAGGAGTTTGACGACATATTGCTGGCTGGCTGATTGGTATGCACACATTTATTCAAGGAAGGTCCTCTGAGCACCAACTCTGTGCTAACAGTATGGTGCTAGGCCTACACAAAATGGGGGATTTTTATTTATGAGCCATTTGTGAGCAAGTGTTCTGAGTTAAGGGCTCTGAATTTAGGTCCCAGGGACCTAACCGATGGGACTGAGGGATGGCGAGGGCAGAAAGAGTGGGACCTGGCTGGTTGAGGCGAGGGTTCCCCAGAGGCTGTCAGCATGTGAGGGGCACTTCTGACTCGCTGTCTTTTCACCCTGGTACCCTCAGGATCTTTGGCTTTCCTGTGCACTACACAGATGTTTCCAACATGGGCCGTGGCGCCCGCCAGAAGCTGCTGGGAAGGTCCTGGAGTGTGCCTGTCATCCGACACCTCTTCGCCCCTCTGAAGGACTACTTTGCATGCGAATAGTTCCAGCCAGGCCCCAAAGCCACTGGGTGTGTGGCAGAGCCAGGACCGAGGAGGTTGATTCCTGAAGGCATCCCCAGGCCCTGCTCTTCCTCAGCTCTGTGGGCCATACCATGTACCTCAGTTCCCTCCTCCTCAGTGGGGGCAGAGCCACCTGACTCTCTTACAGGGGGAGCCCAAGGTGCCGCCTCCTGGTGCACAATTCAGACCTGGCTGCTTGGAGCAGCCAAACACGGTGCTCATTTTTTCCTTCTCTTAAAACTTTAAAACTTGAAGTAGGTAGCAGCGTGGCTTTTTCTTTCCTTCCTGGGTCTACCACTCAGAGAAACAATGGCTGAGATACCAAAACCACAGTGCCGACAGCTCTCCAGTACTCAGGTTAATGCTGAAAAATCACCGAAGACAGTTATTGCAAGACTTTAATTTCTGAAAACTGGCTGCTACTCCGTTGCCAGATGTGTGCAGTTGTAGGCATGTAACTACAGGACATTTTTAAGGGTCCAGGATGGTTTTTTTCAGGGCAAGCAGAAGAGGAAATGTTGTATATGTCTTTTACCTGGCACGTTCCCCTTGCCTAAATACAAGGTGTGGAGTCTGCACGGGACCCATTAGAATATTTCCCATAATGATGATGATTTCAGCAGGGATGACATCATCATCACATTCAGGGCTATTTTTTCCCCCACAAACCCAAGGGCAGGGGCCACTGGCCGCTCTTAGCTGAATCCCTCCCAGTGACTGCAATAGAACCGTCTGGGGACCTCAGGAAGAGGTGTGCTGAGTTCTATAATATAAGCTGCCACATATTATGTAGACAACTACGGCTCCTCCACACCTCCCTCTTCCCTAGGAGAGGAGTGTGAAGGAAGGAGCTTAGATAAGACAAGACACTCCCTCAAACCCATCCCCTCTCCAAGAGACCTACCCTCCACTGGCACAGGTCCCCAGATTAGAAGTCTGCTACCTTCATTCCTCATCTTTTTACTAAACTCAGATGCAGTGACAGCAGTCAGGGACAGAAGCACACTTCTCACACCTTTCCCTCATCTAAGAGATGACAGGGAAAACGGCAATAAAAGCTCGGTTCTCCCTCTGGAGATTTTTAATTTTTTTTTTATTCCACGATAAGTCGTTTTTAGGGGGAATGGGAGTTCAGACAAGCTGCATTTCAGAAATGCTGTCGTAATGGTTTTTAACACCTTTTACTCTTCTTACTGGTGCTATTTTGTAGGATAAGGAACAACGTTGACAAGTTTTGTGGGGCTTTTATACACTTTTTTTAAAATCTCAAACTTCTATTTTTATGTTTAACGTTTTCATTAAAATTTTTTTGTAACTGGAGACACAACGTAACAAATATGGGGAAAAAACTGTGCCTTGTTTCAACAGTTTTTGCTAATTTTTAGGCTGGAAGATGACGGATACCGAGTTTACCTTATGTTTAATTAAAATCAGTATTTCTCTATAACTGTCTGATGTCCCTTTTCTTCTGCAGATCAGATGGATGGGGGATCTGCGGGAGGGCCTAGCTAACGTGTAAGGGTGGGGGCCAGTGCATCTGCATCTCCTGGAGAGCTTGTCAGGGTTGTGAGTGCTGGCCCAACCTCCAGAGTTGCTGACTCAAAGTTTAGGGTGGACCCTAGGAATTTTCAGTCACACAGTGGCACAATTACTGCTCACTGCAGCCTGGACCTCCCGGGCTCAAGTGATCCTCCTCTGTCAGCCTCCAAGTAGCTGGGACCACAGGTGTGCACCACCACACCCAGCCTGACCCTAGGAATTTGATGCTGTCTATCAAGGGACCACACCAGACTAGTGAATGGGCATCCAAGTCATGGTTCCCAACTGTGGCTCGAGTGGCTGAATTCGTTTAGAAGCACCATGTGTGGGACATCTGTTTCCGGACATACAGATCTTGGGGAACTGATCAAGGTGATAATCACACCTCAAGCAAAAGATCCTAATGATGATTCTTACAGTTCATCATGCTTCTGTGGAATTCTATACTTTATTCCACAGCTCCCAAGTTGTCATGTTGCAGGTCAACTACCTTCTGCAAGGGGATTAATTGGAAGTGGCCCTGGGGTCCCAGTCTACCCCATGTCTAGTGTGATTCTTAGTGTGCTCTCAACTGAAATCCTGGCCTTCAATGAGCACTCACAGTACCGGTTGCCCTTCTCAGCCTAACACTGCGACTCCAGTAATCCCAGGCAGGAGTCCCAAGCCCAGAGCCCATCAGGCTACTCATCTCCAGCCTTTGGTCAGGGAGAAGGGGGTTAATACTTGTTAGCTAGCATTTGTAGAGGGGATAGGGTGATGCATTTGGGGTTCATCCACTGAGCCCCAGTCAGACCTAGCACCTCTGAGCCTCTCAGGTCATGTGTGAGTTGGGCTATAATCATGGCCATCTCTTCAATAAGGTCAGGTTTCTAAGGAGCCTAGTCCAGGGTTTGGGGAGGGAAGAAGCTTCCAGAGTGGAAGGATGAACTTGTTAATACATCTTGGAGATCTTTCCATATTACATCCCTCCCAGTGGCTGTAGCATATATATATATTTTTTAACTGAGATGAAGTCTTGCTCTGTCACCAGGCTGGGGTGCAGTGGCGTGGTCTCAGCTCACTGCAACCTCCACCTCCCAGGTTTAGGCAATTCTCCTGCCTCGGCCTCCTGAGTACCTGGGACTACAGATGCCCACCACCAGACCCAGCTAATTTTTTTTTGAGATCTCACTTGCTCAGGCTGAAGTGCAGTGACACAATCTTGGCTCACTCAGCCTCCCAAGTAACTGGGATTACAGGCGCCTGCTACCGCGCCCAGCTAATTTTGTCTTTTTAGTGGAGATGGGGTTTCACCATCTTGGCCAGGCCGGTGTTGAACTCCTGACCTCGTGATCTACCTGCCTTGGCCTTCCAAAGTGCTGGGATTACAGGCGTGAGCCACTGCACCCAGCCAGGATGAATGTGTTATTAGGTGCTTCAGGATTAGAACAGCCCACGTGCTAGTTGCCATGGTGAGATAGCTGGCAATTAGCAAGCTAGGCCAACACAACCTCTTCACATTTCCCCAGGTGTTGAGACCCCGGGGACCTGGGCCACCCAATTAAGCCATCTTGTATACAGTGCAGTACCGAATGCCAGGACAGGATGAAGCCAAATAAACAGCCCCAGCCTCAAAACCCCAAGAGAGATGGACGAGCCCTCCAGGTGAGGGGGCCTCGGTGTTCTGGCCTGCTTGTGGGGTGGGAGTCCTTAGAGGGGGTATGGGGTAATTTTTGTGTTTTCTCAGGTTAGGCTGAGATCTGAGTGATGATCCTATGTTCTGAGGCCAGGGGAGAATGCAGTGAACGCTCTGATCTGGGGAAAGAGGCTGGAGCGTAGGCCTTTGCTGAAACAGTCTGTGTTTGCTTGGATTTGTGTCTGGGGTTTGGCATGTTACCGTGTCACTTGGAGCAAGCAAACGACTTAACCTCTTGGGGTTCTTCATCTCTCATCTAAAAGATGCCAGCCTGGTCAACATGGGGAAACCCCATGTCTACCAAAAAAGACAAAAATTAGCCAGGCGTGGTGGCACGTATCTGTAGTCTCAGCTACTCAGTGGGGCTGAGGTGGGAGAATCGCTCGAACTTGGGAAATGGAGGTTGCTGTGAGCTGAGATCGCACCATTGCACTCCAGCTTGGGTGACGAAGGAGACCCTGCCTCAAAAAAAAAAAAAAAGGTGGAAATAATAAATCCTACCTACTTCATAAGGTTACTGAAGTTCAAAGGCAATAGGGAAAGTTCTTTGCCTTACACCTGGCAGGCAATAAAGTCTACAAAGAGACATTTTTGTAAAAATGAGACTCATTAATGTGATGCTGATGACAATGAAGACAGGATGCAGGTAGCGATAATAACATCCAATGCTTATCAGTAATAATAGCCTTGGGCCAGGCACAGTGCCTCACCCCTGTAATCCCAGGACTTTGGGAGGCTGAGGTAGACAGATCACTTGAGTTCAGGATTTGAGACCAGCCTGGGTAGCATGGGGTGTGAAACCACCTCTCTACAAAAAAATTTAAAAATTAGCGAGGTATGGTGGTGCACCCCTGTGGTCCCAGCTACTCGGGAAGCTGAGGTGGGAGGATGACTTGACCTCAGGAGGTAGAGGTTGCAGTGAGCCGAGGTTGCGCCACTGCACTCCAGCCTGGGCAACAGTGAGACCCTACCTCAAATAATAATAACAAACCTTTTTAAAAAGGTAGGGTAATATTTCCCCAGATGTTGTCAGCAGGCAGACGGACTGGTGTCAATGGTAGCAACAGTGGCATCGGGTGTGGAACTTGTGCCTTTCCCCGCCCCCCACATCCTGTGGGGATCCCAATGCTACTTGCTAGGGTTGCCATCTTGTCTTTACTTCCCTACCAATTTGTGATTTTGGCGGTGCTCCATAGACTCCTTGTGCCTCAGTTTACCCAAGTATAAAATAGGGACAATATCAACCTCACGGAGCTGATGTGTGGATCAAATAATTCAGTGTATATGAGGCCCATGGAAGAAGTTGGTGGGGACTGAATGTTGAGTAAATGACAGGGACAAATGACCCCCAAAATGCTTTCTTATTACTGTTAGAGAATTCTGGCAACCCTGTGAGGCCTGATTACCATGATTATGAGTAAAAGAACTGATTCCAAAGAGGTCTCATCACATACCCAAGGTCATCCAGCATCTGTAGCAAAAGGAATTGCGCATTGGAATCTGCTCTAGGAAGCCGGTCTCCTTTTTCTCCTTGGTCTCACCTGCATCTTTGTTGTTCTTGTTTGTGTGTTGTTTTTTGTTTTGCTGGAGCTGGAAAGTACCTGCCGACCTTTGCAGTGTTCAATTTGCCTTCCTTCCTACCTTCCTTCCCTTCCTCCTTTTATTTTTTTTATTTTTTTTATTTTGACACGGAGTTTTGCTCTTGTTGCCCAGGCTGGAGTGCAGAGGCGCAATTCAGCTCACTGCAACCTCCGCCTCTTGGGTTCAAGCGATTCTCCTGCTTCAGCCTCCCAAGTAGCTGGGATTACAGGCACGTGCTACCACACCCGGCTAATTTTTATATTTTTTTAGTAGAGACGGGTCTCTCCACGTTGGTCAGGCTGGCCTCGAACTCCTGACCTAAGGCTCCCAAAGTGCTGGGATTACAGGCGTGAAGCACCGCGCCCGGCCCAGAAAGTTGACTTCTAAGCCTTTCCCCAAAGTGTCTATCAAGTATTTATTATTCAATAACCTATTCTTACAGAAATTCATTGTAAGGCTGGGTGCGGTGGCTAACGCCTGTATTCCCAGCGTTTTGGGAGGCCAAGGCAGGAGGATCTCTTGAGGTCAAGAGTTCGAGACCACTCTGGGCAACACAGCAAGACCTCCATCTGTCTCTAAAAAAAAAAAAAAATTCATTGTGAAAGCAATTGTTTTTTGGCTACTGCGGTGGGGATTTTGTAACTGGACAAGTACACCGGACCGAGGCGGGACCTCATTGGCTGCGGCCGACCACGTGCCACAGTCGCCCGGGCGGTCGGGGCCCCGCCCCTCGGCTCCTCTTCTGTCGATCAGGGGCTGAGCTCCGCCTTCGGCGCGCGGCTGGGTGCCTCTCTATAAAAGGAGCCGGCGGGCGATGACGAGCCTTTACGTCGGCGCGTAAGGGGGGGTGCGTGTGAGGTCATCGCGCGGGCGAGCGGGCGGGGTCTGGCGGTTTGAACGAGAAGAAGACGGAACCGGAGCCGGGTGCGGGCAGTGGAAGCGGTTCCGCCGAGAGCCGGTGAGCCGGCCAGCGGGCCCAGGGAGGGGCGGCTGTGGGGGCAGTCGCGTGGGCCAAGGCCGGGCGTGCGCGGGCAGGCCCTGCGGGCGGCGCCGGGGCCGCTCCACACGGCGGTGCGGTTCGAGCCGGGTGGGGGAAGGGCGGGGCCGTGACCCGGCGCGCGCGGGCTGGGCCGGGGGGCGCGCGCTCCGCTCTGCCGCGGGGGGGGCGGGGTATCGGGCCGGAAGTGGCGGCTGCTGCTCCGCGGTATGGGGGCTTCTGGGCCGCCGCTGAGGTGTGGACCCTGCGCTAACCCGGCCGGAGGTCCCAGGGTTGTTGGGCCCCGGGAGGGTGTGGGCGAGGTGGGCCGTGCTGGGAGCTCTGGGGACCCACTTTGTAGGAGGCCATGTCGCCTGAGGGCCGAGAGATCCGGTTGTGGATTGAGACCTGGGTTGGGTTCCGTGCTGTGTGACCTTGGACAGGTGCTGTAACCGCTCTGGACCTCAGCTTCCTCATCTGTAAAACGGGGACAATAATAGTAGCTACATTAAAGTCTTAGCGCGGTGCATGGCAGAAAGTAAGCCAATTCTTGGACTCCCTCCTTTCATCAGTGTGTTTATCGAGCGCCCACTAGGTGTTGAGCACCGTGCTAACCGCGGGCTGTTCGCCCGGGAGCAAAGATTTGCTCTCTGGGAATCCACGTTGTGATGAG